TTGTTGGTCCAGGCCATTGTCCTTCTCTGGACAAGTTAAGTTCTTTTTAGAGTCAAGGTAAATGGTGATTTTATGTATTACCTGATATTCTGGGAAATTAAAGCAAAAGCTGCTGATAAACAGGGTGAGAACAGGTAGTATTAAAGAAACAGTAAGAATGCAGAGTTTAAATTTAGCAGCAGGATAGCTTAGGGAAAAAGGAACTCCTGCTATTAAGTAACTGGAAATTGGGCTATGTATTGTTTTCTTTCTACTGTTTCACAAAAAAACCAAAAAGAAACAAACAAAAAAACCCAGTAGCCAAAGAATATACATCATCAGATGAAACGGCATATCCAAAAAAATACTCGGCATGGAACTACTACTTCCTGGCCACTGAGGCACTTCTCTGGTGGAAATATCTAGCTAAATAGTACCAACACTTTGCTAAAGTTTGTAACACCTTAGAGAAACAGCCTAACTTCAGTGGACTTATACAAGATTGTTCTTAAGTTTTAACATGGCTAACTCTGGGAAGTACTCGAACTATGAATACATATTCTATTTATGAGATATTTCTGTTGTTATCTCTTGTTTTCTATTTCTCCTTAGTTTCACAAGTTTTTGCAGGACATTCAGAATTGAAACTCACACATACCAGTAATATTTGCAGGGTTACATCAAACAATGCTGAACAGCAAATATCTCGTGCAGGGTTTTGTTACACTAGTTGTGGAGATATTTTAATAAAGATTCAACCTGTAGGGACATATTGAGTGCAGAAAGAAGCGCATGTAATTTTTCTCTTTTTACCTTCTAGAATTGTGTAGCAGAGAGGGTAGGCAATGTACCATATCTGGTAATTTAATTAACTGGTAAATAATAAGGGCATTTTTTAAAGCAGTACCAAGAGAAATGTAACACATCTTATGTAAGTTTTACATGTATATTTTCCAGTTTTGTTATGCAGTATCTTCCTACCTATTATTAATTTAATGCAGAATGATATCTGCAAGTCCAAGACAGCAGAGGGATTGACACTTGTAGCTAACTGAGCTACTGTTATAGAGCTCACTACTCACACGCTACCTCCCAATGCCTTTCCTGTCAAAGCTTCTTAAAAAAGCCAGGTTCCTACAAAGTCTTGACTGGCCACTGAAAATCTCTCTCCTTCCTCTTACTCTCCCTCTCTGCAAAGGATCACTATGCAAAAGGGAAAGAAGAGCTGTAAAATGATTGAGAAAGGCAACACTGGAATTACATGCCTTGCAGTCACTTTTTGGCAGATGATCAAAATGACAGCAAGTGTTCCTTCAAATGTCTCTAGGGTTCCACCCTCCCTCCCCACTACCAAGCACCCGTCTTCCCCCTAGTCATAAATCTCTTCAAATAAGCCCCAGCACTATGGAAGCACTGCAGTCTGCCATGAAGTCATTGCTTCTCATCTGCTCCAAACTCCCTTCTTTCTGGGGAACTAATGAGAAGCATTAAGTATGTGAAGACTGACACTTGCACTAACTGTATCTTTTGGAATAATATGCTAACTTATCAACACAGCTAAAAGCCAAGAGATGAAAAGTAAGGCCTGAATATGAAATTATTCCTAAGTGTGCAGTAAATAAATCACAGCTCTCAATGTGCATTATAGAATCGCTCAAGGTAACATTTCTATAACTTCCTACAGTATAAAATGTTAGGCTCCAAGTATAAAGGGAAATCTGTACTGAAAAATGAACAATATTAATAGCTTATATAGATTAAGAGAAAGCTTTAACCCTGGGCAGCTGCTAGACAAAAGCATCTTGTCTCTGAATGAGTAGTTCAAATTTATGTCCAAACTAAATAAGTCACTCCATTCAACAGTGTCAGATTTAACTTCTGAGTGCAGACTATTAATCATCATGTCAAAAGAGAAGCAGAGTAATTGTTTTGCCTATAATATTGAGTAACTAGAGGCCTAGCTGAAGCACTTCACTGTTTCTAAAGTCCAAGTATATACTAGGTTATAATACTGAAATACCTACTTCCATTATCTATGTATTTATTAATGGAAATTATCAGAAGTTTAGAGACTGTCAAGAAAACTAATTAAAAGACTGCCTTATTTTTCTCCTGTTACAGTAGAGCAAGCAGTTTCCCTTTAATAGCAAAAGCCAACCTAGCACTTGGACAAAATGCCTACTGGGAAAACAACATGAGGTTGGTACATTGTGTATTCTTGTGGTTTCCACTGACTTCTCTTGGAAGGACACCAGATGCAGCTTTCTGGTGGCAAAAAAAAAAACAACCACAAACAACACTCAGCCTCATTAATCCTACTCAGCTCAGGAACCCCTGCTGTAGTTTTAAAGCTGCTTCATCCTCCAAAAAGCAAATAGCTACATGCACAGCCAGAAACACTGGAGGGGCATAAAAACCTCATGCAATTTCTCTTTTCAAAGCAAATTCAAAGTATCCATTTTCAAGTAGTCTAATTTTAGGCATGACTAATGTAAATATGACTATATTCATTTATCCTCCTGTTAGGCCTATATTATCCAAGTTCATGTTTTGAGATGTCTTTTATAAACTCTTCTTTTACAACATGGCTAACTGCAATAAAACTCCAGAACCCACATGTGAATCTGTCATCTTCCTTCAACACATTTCACAAGTGAATACTACAACAGGAGGAAATAAGTAAAAATAGTTTGCTGGTTTAGCTTAAATTTGTGTTGTAATGATTCTTATATCAAGTCCTTTACAGTGCATCGCCTGAAGTTTCATAGATACAATAAGAAAAAAAAAAGGATTCAGGGAAACTGTGAAGTACCCTGCTCATTTTTAATACAACATGTGTATATAAGATACATTAAGTAGCACAGATTATGAAGTACTAGGCTTGAATCAGGCAATAAGACTCACTTGAGAGGGTGTACTTGTTAGCTCCATCTTTTCTTGGGATTTTTCCTTTGCTAGTCGTGCAGCTTCTTTGAATTCCTGAAATTTTTCCGCAAACTGAAGGTACATATGTTTAAAAAATAACAGGAAAAAGAGAAAGAATAGACGTGAAGTAGTTATATTACATGCGGAACAGAATGCTGTACTTAAACATTTTACAAAGTCAAATTGTCAGTAGAATTTTTAAATTTTTCTCTTTATTAGATACTCATTTAAGAGAGTTACACAGTGACATACCTTTGAGACATAATGTACTCTGTTTATATGACAGGAAAATTATGATGCAACAAAGTTTAATTTGTTGCTGATAGTGTTAAAAAACCCACCTCATATATGGCTAATAACAGTGATAAGCTGCCTTGCACAGCTGCTTTCAGATTCAGGTTTTACTGTCTTCCTGACAACATTTTTTGTAATAACAAGCTAACCATTATTCATTCACTCACATATACTGAACACTAAATTCAAGAATTCCACATTGAACTGCCATATGAAGCTTGATTTCTCTGCTACACGTAGCTCTTCCAGAAAATAGCTAAAGCAGCAATTTAGAAATACATGCACCCTTAAACTTGATAGATTAAATTAATTTATTAAGAATAGGGCCTAGATTCTCTGGCTAGAGAAAAATTTGGCTTTGCAGATCTCAGCTTGACACTACACTAATTGCTATAGTAGCCAAGCATTCATTTTTACTTGCTACTGCTTTTATACAGAACATGATCTTATTATGATCAGCTTAAGACTGAAATAATTCTGCAAAAACATTGGAAACTTCACCAACAGCTTCGAAATCTCTCCAGCAGCAGCATACAAAGAAATTGTTTTGCACTGCATGTATTTAGAAGGGATGAAGGCTACCTTTGTGTGACACAACCTCCTTAACTATTTTCAATCAGAACTTCACTTGCTATTCAGGATCTAAAAAACCTCATTGTCTTTAGCCTACCAGGAAAAGTAGTTTATTAGTATTTGAGGAAATATCATTTCTCTCCACTGGTATCCTATATTTCAGCTGTCAGGTTATTTAAAAGCATACGTTTCCCCGAATATAGAAGGATAAAAAAAGTATACCATCCTGAAACTCTAATTCAGCATCAAAAAAGGTCTCAGAACAGATAATAAAATTGGCAACTGATCACCAGAACTGGATGATACTCATTTAAGAGTTGTAGATAGACCTCAAAATCTGATGGATAACCTATTATTTAAATCAGCTTTGATTGGTAAGGATTGGTAAGTGAGAAAACATGATGCTGAGGTTTAGAATGGCTGAAGACATACAAGGCAGTAAATATGATCTTCTGTATCACAGTGGTAGAAACTGTAAAAAAAAAAATATACATAATGAATAGACAGATAAATAGATAACATTCTAAGAAAAAGCCAACAAGGCTAACAGAGGAAATTTTCACAAATTTACTAGAATTCCTTGAGGCAGTCAGGTGATAGATAGTAGCAATCTCCTGATAAAATTCCTAAATAACAAAGATGAGATCTTATGGTATGAAAGGAAGGGTTCTCTGGAGGATTAATAATTTAAGGAAAAGATGGAAAAATTGTGGAGGGAGACTATGGGAGGATCTCACAAGTACCTGTGATGGTCCTTTTGGCATTTAGCATACTCTTAAGTTATTTGGAATAAATCAGGCCAACTAATTCAAAGGGATAAAACAGACAGCAATCCTGACAAGGAATATTTCTTCCCACACAGCGGGATACTATCAAAACCACAGATTTATATTCTGGTTGAGAAATTAGCCTCAGTTTTCTCTGAATATCATGGGACACTCTGTTCCTCCTACTACAGCAGCAAGAGGGACTGTGCTAGGAAATCCTGATCCTGTGAAAGGAATATTCTAATAGTTTGCTGGTTTAGCTTAAATTTGTGTTGTAATGATTCTTATATCAAGTCCTTTACAGTGCATCGCCTGAAGTTTCATAGATACAATAAGAAAAAAAAAAGGATTCAGGGAAACTGTGAAGTACCCTGCTCATTTTTAATACAACATGTGTATATAAGATACATTAAGTAGCACAGATTATGAAGTACTAGGCTTGAATCAGGCAATAAGACTCACTTGAGAGGGTGTACTTGTTAGCTCCATCTTTTCTTGGGATTTTTCCTTTGCTAGTCGTGCAGCTTCTTTGAATTCCTGAAATTTTTCCGCAAACTGAAGGTACATATGTTTAAAAAATAACAGGAAAAAGAGAAAGAATAGACGTGAAGTAGTTATATTACATGCGGAACAGAATGCTGTACTTAAACATTTTACAAAGTCAAATTGTCAGTAGAATTTTTAAATTTTTCTCTTTATTAGATACTCATTTAAGAGAGTTACACAGTGACATACCTTTGAGACATAATGTACTCTGTTTATATGACAGGAAAATTATGATGCAACAAAGTTTAATTTGTTGCTGATAGTGTTAAAAAACCCACCTCATATATGGCTAATAACAGTGATAAGCTGCCTTGCACAGCTGCTTTCAGATTCAGGTTTTACTGTCTTCCTGACAACATTTTTTGTAATAACAAGCTAACCATTATTCATTCACTCACATATACTGAACACTAAATTCAAGAATTCCACATTGAACTGCCATATGAAGCTTGATTTCTCTGCTACACGTAGCTCTTCCAGAAAATAGCTAAAGCAGCAATTTAGAAATACATGCACCCTTAAACTTGATAGATTAAATTAATTTATTAAGAATAGGGCCTAGATTCTCTGGCTAGAGAAAAATTTGGCTTTGCAGATCTCAGCTTGACACTACACTAATTGCTATAGTAGCCAAGCATTCATTTTTACTTGCTACTGCTTTTATACAGAACATGATCTTATTATGATCAGCTTAAGACTGAAATAATTCTGCAAAAACATTGGAAACTTCACCAACAGCTTCGAAATCTCTCCAGCAGCAGCATACAAAGAAATTGTTTTGCACTGCATGTATTTAGAAGGGATGAAGGCTACCTTTGTGTGACACAACCTCCTTAACTATTTTCAATCAGAACTTCACTTGCTATTCAGGATCTAAAAAACCTCATTGTCTTTAGCCTACCAGGAAAAGTAGTTTATTAGTATTTGAGGAAATATCATTTCTCTCCACTGGTATCCTATATTTCAGCTGTCAGGTTATTTAAAAGCATACGTTTCCCCGAATATAGAAGGATAAAAAAAGTATACCATCCTGAAACTCTAATTCAGCATCAAAAAAGGTCTCAGAACAGATAATAAAATTGGCAACTGATCACCAGAACTGGATGATACTCATTTAAGAGTTGTAGATAGACCTCAAAATCTGATGGATAACCTATTATTTAAATCAGCTTTGATTGGTAAGGATTGGTAAGTGAGAAAACATGATGCTGAGGTTTAGAATGGCTGAAGACATACAAGGCAGTAAATATGATCTTCTGTATCACAGTGGTAGAAACTGTAAAAAAAAAAATATACATAATGAATAGACAGATAAATAGATAACATTCTAAGAAAAAGCCAACAAGGCTAACAGAGGAAATTTTCACAAATTTACTAGAATTCCTTGAGGCAGTCAGGTGATAGATAGTAGCAATCTCCTGATAAAATTCCTAAATAACAAAGATGAGATCTTATGGTATGAAAGGAAGGGTTCTCTGGAGGATTAATAATTTAAGGAAAAGATGGAAAAATTGTGGAGGGAGACTATGGGAGGATCTCACAAGTACCTGTGATGGTCCTTTTGGCATTTAGCATACTCTTAAGTTATTTGGAATAAATCAGGCCAACTAATTCAAAGGGATAAAACAGACAGCAATCCTGACAAGGAATATTTCTTCCCACACAGCGGGATACTATCAAAACCACAGATTTATATTCTGGTTGAGAAATTAGCCTCAGTTTTCTCTGAATATCATGGGACACTCTGTTCCTCCTACTACAGCAGCAAGAGGGACTGTGCTAGGAAATCCTGATCCTGTGAAAGGAATATTCTTCAACATAGGAATCATCTTTTAGGTATCACTGATTTCTGCCTGACTCTTGATGGAACAATCTTGAGGTGAATTTGTGGTCTGACATATTGAGAAAAGGTCTAATGAAGATAAACAAATGTTTAATTAATTATTCTTCTATACTATTTGCGTGTGAAGTTGATTAGAGTGCCTTTATTTTTATACCGGATAGTCTAGCTCCACCAATTCTCACAGTCACAATAATCGTCCAGAAAGAGGTTACCACTGTTTCACTCTACCCTAGTAATCAGTTTAGGAGGACAAAGGCACACAAACCAAAAAGGAATAGTCCAAAAGTCAAATACTTGATATATGCTTTGGAAATCATCTGCTTGTTTAGAGTGACATAGCTAAGCAGACAATGATCTGAGAATAACCAGTTTATTAGAAGACATGACTTTTATTATCTCTGCTCTGATTATTTGCTTCATTAACCTGTTGATATCAGTCACAGACTAGACTAAGTTTTTTGTGGTTGCAGGCTGTCCATTGCTCCCTGGAACTTGAAATATTTCATTGGGGCCCAGAGACACTACTGCAAAACAAATTACATGCAACAGGGCTGTTCGCTTAGGGATTTTGATAAACCAAGTACAGAAAAGAAGTTCCAGAATCAATTTTTAAGGCAACTTCTAGAAGCAACCTGTTTCTGAACAAATCCATTAATACAGTTTATTTGTTAGCACTATTACTAATATCCAGTAGTACCTTGAGTCCTAAATTAGATTTCATGTCCTACAACACTAGGTGTACCAAAGAACGCTCTAGTAAACCTGACTACAATGCCAGTGCACAGAAGTGGGAGTTAGTAATCTGAGCAGAGACATAAGACAAGAAAGAAAATAGATGTGATTTCTCTGAAGCTACACAGCAGATCCAGGGTTTCTAATTCAGCTTTTCTGATATAAGACCAATATATCTACCAATTCCAGTGACTGAATAGACTGTAATCTAAACAAGTTTCTTTTCCCTCCATCAAATATGTTTGCTAATTTTACAATAACACAAAAAGTTTCACCTTTATGAATTTTAGTAGCAATGATCAGCAATTTTAATTCACATGAAAATCACAATTTGATAATTAAGATATAATACAAGGGAAACAGTTTGCTGAAAATGTCCTGAAGATTCATCACCATAAGCTTCTGAAAAGGTCTGTGACTTGGCATTTTTCTCAACAGATCTGTGTATTCTTCATAAATCACAGCAATCTGAGTAACTGCTAATCAAACGTACTTAAGACAAAATATCTACTGTAGCTTTTCAGATTATTTTTTCAACAGCAATATAATGTTTTAAGCCAAGGGCATACTGAAAACTCTTAGACATCAGTTTGAGGGCAGTGAAAGAATGGGATTGAAACAACTGTAATTAAGAAGGAAGTATCACTTGAGGAGAGCAAGGAAAGAGATTAGGATTTATGCTAAATCCTTTGAAATATTAACAAAAGTTATTACCATGTTGGTAAGCAAGTGCCTCTAGGACATACACGCCAATTTAAATAAATTACAAAGTTTCTAAGTTCACTGAAGCAATGACATGTGTGCACAAATGCACATGCATATATTAATATCACTCAGAATTTCCTGGGTTTGTGTTGCTTCATAGAAATGAAAGCTATCAGATTACAAAAGGAAGAAATCTTACAAGCTTATCACACTGTCCAAATAAAGCAGATGTACTGGTTCTCTTTTTAATGGTTTTCTGACAAGCCCATACTTATCCTTAGATAGTGACAATTACTTTCTCAAAAGGGCCGGTATGATTTTTTTTGTTTATTTAGGTTTTTTTTAATAACAAGCCAACCATTATTCCTTACTCAAACATGTATTATACATTCCTTTTTATTGCATTTGGGTTTCCAGATCTCTTGTATATTTCAAAGATGAACATTCTCTGCTTAATGTAGAAACATGTTTTTAAACTGAAAATGAAATTCCTCATCTGGAGAAAAACAACATTGGCTTTTACAGGTTCCTGGACTCATCTACCAGAGTAGTATCAATAACAATAGGGACTGTAGAAAGGGTGCTCACAGGAACCATACCATCACTTTGAGAAAAAGGAGTTACTGCTTTCCTTGGATTAAGGTGGACTTCCCTCCTGCACAAGCAGACCAGAAAAACACCTCATAGGGCATTGAGTTTCTTTAGTAAAAATTTCAACTTTTGTATTCCAACAAGAAAATGTAGTTTTCTTTTACATGGAATATTTTTCCCCACTAGCTTTACTTTAAGCCTGCACATGTTGAAATATCTGTAATTTGATGCACTACACAGCAGAAAAGTGAAAGTGAATGTGGCTTAAAAGACAAAAATGCACCTGAAGACTACCAACAATTTTTTTCTAGGAGATTTAAACACAGAAGAAACACTACATAGTCTACTCCTTTAAATTCTATCATGAAAAACTGTAACGGAAGAACAACTTTAAAGAAGAGAAACCTAACAAAACCTAACAAGTGAATACTTAGAAAGCATTAACAGCATACACTGTGATAGCTTAAATATCCCTCCTTTCCTCAATCAGTTAAAAGAAAATTCATAGGCAACAAAGTGTTATAACAATATTGGCTTGTCTTTTTACATTTACAGAACATTTTTTGTAAATTATTTTTAAATAACAACAGTATTGAGCACTGACTTACTTTTGAAAGGTGATGTTCAGATGAAAATCCCAAGCCATAGACTGTATTTGCCCTGCTGTCTGCCCATTGGCCAAACTTCTGGGATGTTTTAGTAAACGTCATGTTGGGGGTGATAGTGCTATTTATTATTGCCTGAAAAAAAAGTAATAGTTGTAAAAAAGGGGTTCTGTGGTTTTGATTTTTTTTTTAAAAACTACTCAATAATTGAAAATGTCAGTATCAATCATAGACAAGTATCTGTGTATGCTGAATGAGACAAACCTGCAACTAGGGAACAGTTTTCTTCTAATTCAATCACAGCTAAAATTACGAAAGCATATATTGGCATGCATTCTTTAAAAGGAGCAAAAGGGGGGAGGGGCACCTGTTTGCAATTGCAAGCAGTCATTTAATAGTTAGCAAGTCTAAAAAAAAAGTCCTTTAAAGCATCCACATAGGCTAATGAGATCAGAATAGAAGAACTAGCAAAGTCATCTTTTGTCTCACAAGTGTATTTCTTTGTCCCCTAAAGCAATGCCTCTCAAGATCCACTGTAAGCTCCACAGTTGCATTCCCCCCATTGCATATGCAATCCTCACTGGAAAACATGCAATAAAACAAGAAGCACAATTTCTTTTTAAGTTTCTGTATTGCAATAATCTGTTTTTCATTTATACACACACAAACATGACTAATAGTGACAGGGTCATATACCAACTACAGAAGAAGAGCTACTCTTAGAATAGATTTTTCTTCTCTAGTTCTTGCTACATACAGGATAGAAGCAGTGCATCTTCCAGCATACAACTTCTGCTAATGTAAACAAAAAACTACAACTATTCAATTATATGCTGGTTCCACTAAAACCAACTAAAGTTTTACCATGAATTTCAACAGTATTTTCATCACATTAAAGTTTGTCTAACATATTCTAAATCTGTGATGTGGAACTGTCCAGTTGACTTAAAGTATGCCAGGATAAAGTCTTATAATGACACCAATGGGTTCCATTTAACTAAAAAAATTGATGGTTATTACAGCTTATAACCAGACAATATGAACAAGAAAGACTAGCCATAAAACCAGATATGTGTATTGGAAGTGAAATGCAGGCATGCTTTTTCATCTGTCTGGTGCTACTAAGAGTTTCAGACACATTTGTTAAATAATTCACAGCCCTTTTCACAAAACACTGGTTAGTAGGTGCTTTGTAACACCCATGTGAAAGAGAATGTCCTTAAAACTTCCCAGAAAATAGCATACACTGTGAGCAGAAGAGTTCAGGAAGAATCTTTCTTACATACCAGTTATTGTGCTCCAAAGGTTATTGTCAATATGGGTCCTTACTGTCTCACACTACAGAGTTGGGAATCTTTTGAACATCAGTGTGCACATGCTTTGTTCTGCTCCCATGAAACCATAACCCCTGCCTTAGCCCCAGCAGTGCAAAGCCAGTGATTACTGTAGAATCCTAGAGCAGCAACAAAATTCACAGGGTCCAAACCAACTTCTCTGTTGGAGATAGATAGAAATCTTAATTTTATTCTTTGAGTAGCAGGAACTGGACTGATGCATAGAGAATAACAATATTTTCTCAGGATGGTGACAGTGAGAAACTTCAACATCAGAGAGACCAAGTACTGTTCTCCCAAGCCCGAGATCTTCTAGAAGTCAAATCCAGCCTATACTATTGTGTGAGATGGCCTTCTGGATGGATATTAGAGTAGTTACAGAGTTTACTTAGCATCCTTTGCTTCTGCTGAGATTTGGGTAGCACTGGAGCACAGCTACCATCAACATCAAATTTTCTCTGAATTCTACAGGGCAAGCCTGAAAAATTTACAGCTGAGGGGCCAGCTAAGCCCACAAACAGCTTTCATGTGCATATGCTGATTCTCAGATGAAGTGGGGGAGAGGAGTATTGCAAGAAAGTTCAGAAAAATACATTGTATCGCAACATGTAGAAAGGCAAGCAAAGATACTGCAGCACAGATTAATTTAACAAAACTGGCATCTTCTGCAGTGGCTTTGGCAGCTCCATTATGCTCGCATTAAATATCGGGAGAGCAAATCTGGATGTAGCTGAGGATATCAAACAGGCAGTTCTCTCTGATAACCTTTGCCTCAAAATGCAAGTTTTGGCTACCATTGTGAACAACTCCTGGATAATTTCATAATGCCTGAAAGCTTACATTTGAATCAACAAGCCTCATCAGGTCAGGGACAAGATTTATTGTGTGACTAGAGACTGAAGAACCATCTCCAGAATTAATTGTCCATAAAACTTCTCCTCAGATTTTCATATAGGAGGAGCTGGTCAGCAAAGTCACTGCTAATTCAGTCATCCTCCTTTCTTTAGGTATATGGTTGGGGGCCCAAATAAAGCCAGCAGGCTTGCACTTGCACCAAGGCCTCCAACTGACCTCATAGGAAACAGCTGTCTATGCCATGTAGGACAGAAGAGAGAACATGAGAAAGCAGAGGTGGACTTCTTAGAAAGGAGGTGTTCTAGAGCTCCATTTTTCTTGTATGCTTCTTGTCTTCTTGTGTACTGTTAGCGCTTGGAAGCCCTCCTTTTGAAATAACCTGGTGGAAGCCCAGAACAGAGCTGTGCAAGTTCACTTAATGCTCAATCTCTCTTGGTGTGGAAGCTGTCAACAGTAACATGTTTAAAATTAATTATCCTGGGGACAGTGTAGAAGAGTCTTCCTCCCAACTCAAGCTCTAGCTATGTTGTCTCCTTGCTTAAGCCCTAGTTCCATCCATTGCTTGATAAATTTGAACTTGTATCACAGATTTGAGAGTGCAGGTAATTGTCACAGATGTAACTTTCTCAGTGCAGAAGAGGACTCTGAGGACAGGGACTTATGACCTCCAAGAAACAGGCAGCTTTAAAGCCTGCAGGACTGGCATTTGCTGCAGTGACAGTGGCATATCTGGTTGCAAATTAACCCAGTATAAAACCTTGGAGAAACCAACCAGTTTTCAGCTGAGACTGCTCACTGCTTCAGCTGACCACAAGGGCTGGCTGCACAAGAGAGAACCTAGAACAGGCTTCCTGAACCAATTGTTCACCCAACGTATCATGGACTTGTC